GATATTAGCGAGACGTAGGTCTCCATGAGTAAAGACCGTACGGTGTTTCCTCTGGGAAAGCATCCCAGACAGGAGATTCTTAATATGACGTTTAGGTGCCTGTGCTTGATATGCTTTGACAAGGGTATTGTTGAATTCATCTTCTGAAGTGAATGGCCCTGCATTTGTAGTAAGTTGTTGTTATTAGTATCGGGATGCCAGTGGAATATGCAATAGGTCTTGATACTCTACTCACCCTTGTTGTCATAGTTCTCCAAGATTGGATCTGTAACAGGCCCAGGACCAACCGATCCAATATAATAGCTCCCATTGCCATTCCCGATCTGGCGAAGCTCGCCGATATAGTCCTTGAGTTGGGTGGAAATTTGGGCTTTCGTGATACTGTCATATGTCTCCCACACCCTGTCGAGGCTCTGACCCTCTATGAAGCTCATGAAGATATATGTATCATAGAGACTCCCATAGTCATCCGCATCTCGATCAAATGGCCCGTGAGTGTAGTAGGCAAATACTTTTGGTACTGGGACTGTTCTTGTATTATCCTCGACAAATACCATATTCTTTGCCTCGGTCAGGGTGACATGGGGTCTGAACTTGACAACTATTTCAGAAGATATCTTGGCTATCTTCACACCACCCCAATTGAATATGGTATTATTGGGGCTTACCATCTCTTAAACACGGTCTGGGTAGGGCGCTTCAAAGGAGGGGACCGAGTATTGGACTTCTACCTGCGGCTCGCGGTTCACAGATCCAGTCTTGTCACTTTCTTCCGCACTAGACATAGTGGTGAAGGGCAACAGAAATCGCTGAAAGGCTTGGCCGGAATCAGGTGATAGGGATGTGAAAATGAAAGTGATGAGCGATGGGAGAAATCCATAAAGGTCTGGATGTTTAGATCAACGCGATGCTGCTGCTGTCATACGGTCTGAATGTGCACACAACAGCACCTGGCCAGAACAGTCAAAACTAACCTGATTTGGTAATCTGGACATACTGATTCACAGAGCGTAACAAGTGGACTCGGGTATATACCAGAGTGCCAATGCCTTCAATCCCCCAAACTAATAGTTGAAATGGCTAGGTACAGGTAGTTGCCTACTACTCAATATCATAATCACTTGATATATGTGGGATGTTCTGCAGATCGCAATCTTCCATAAGAGGCAGTCTAGATGATATTTATCCAACATTTTATGCTCATAGCTAAGACTTTGTACTCCTATCCATTTATTGGATTATGCCACCGGAAGTTACCGTTGAGGTTTCAAGGAGAAATATCCTTCGTCGACAAAACCTTATAAAAGGTCAACATATCTCTGCTTTAATTGTGTTGCTACCTTTGTGGTCCTAAGATATCATGAGTCTAAGGGTATGAATTTGACGAAGACTCTCAGATCGATTGAATACATCCTCAAACTAAAGTGACGACAGATACTAACACATATGTAATCCAGGAAGTTCTGGCACAGGCGCAGTCTGACTCACAATTATACCCAGTGGATGTTTCAAATTGACGATTGAACTAAGCATGCCTGGTAAACCTAAAAGAACGCGAACAGAAGGATTATTGTTGATGACACTCCTCTGTCCATCTGGAAAGCTCCGAACCTGAAGGTTGCGAACTCTGCTGCGGTCCAGCTAAGGCGCCCTAATTCTCCAGTAAATGAGGCGAATCAAGCATACTGGCCATATGTATCGGTAACTGACAGGTTCTCTTTGCACACGATCTTTGCCATATAGCAGGAAGCGGAATTGCCCTAAAAGTATCCTACACGTGGTGGAAGATATCCTCACCAAAGCCCGTGTCGTCTACTTGCTTGAAGCTTGGCTTCCACAATCACCATTGTCAGACACGCAATTCCAAATGATTTATATCCCAGTCAGTCGTCCATCGAGGATAACTCTCTGTTCTACAGCGACAGTGCCTTGCACCATAACCAAAATGCCAGGATACCAATACACCGGCCAAGCGGTAAACTACAAGCTAATCGCGGATATAGTACAGCTCCTGGAAGAGAATGATATACCATGCCTCCTAATCGGCGATTACATGTTTGAAGCCATGGGAGGGCCTGGACTCCGCGGCGTAAGTTCATCTGTCTTATCTGCAATTCTGCATATATATTCAACAAAAAGAAATACTAACTAAACACCACAGAACATCGAACTCATTCTCGAACGCCACGACATCAACAAAGCAATCCGCATCCTCCGCAAAGCCAACTTCCCGGACGACCAACCCATCTACTACAAGCATCTTCTCTGTCCCTCTCCCCTCATGGGACAAACGACCTGTTCGGCCAACGAAACCCCCTTCATCCCCTACCATTCGTTTCACCTAAACGGCAGGTTCTGGGGAGAGCCATACACAGGATTTCATACCGACCTCTGTCTATACGAGAAGCAAGATCTCTTCTGGGACCTGCCTGAGCTCTCACTGGGAGAGTTGTCCGAAGATGATACCGATTTCATTCTGGCCAGTGATCATCGTCTCCCTCCCCAGGAGAACTGGCAGTATTGGGGCCGGTTTCCTGATACGCTGTACCCGGTTAAGATACCCATGCCGGTGCGGTATGTCGAAGCGATGATGCTTCTCACGGCCCGGGACTGGGAAATCAAGGGACATGGGTGGTCTTGGCGGGATGAGATTATGTACATGTGGAAGTACGTAGTTGGTGTACTAGAGGAGTTCTTTGAGGTGGAGATGTTCAAGCCGATGTTCAGGGCCTGGTGGGCGGTTTTGGAGAACTCGGAGTCGATGTCGGGTGGGGAGGTGCTGTGTGTGCATAATTTGAGGAGGGAGCTGGTAGCTACGGGTGTGATGCCTGAGACGCCGTTTACTTGGTTGAAGATGTATGGTTGAGGTCATGGTGGTTAATTGGTGATAACATAGGGTTAAATTGGGTGACAGTAGAATGAGCAGATTATGTAACGGTCTGAAGTCTAAATACGAGCAGAAGTAAAGGAAGTTGATTCTAGAATATAGACGATACGACCAACAGGAATCAAGTGAAATAGGATTGTTTCCCCAAGACGGTAATTGATTGCCTCCCTTATGTCATACGTCATTCCGCGTGTCCGCCTGTCTTACTGCTAACTATAATAGTCCACCAATATACTCTGAAACAGATAAGGCCCAAGCGTAAGCACTCAGAACCCCCCCCTATATGTCCTCTTCTCTATAGCATAGCGCCGTTTACCCGGCCTGCTTACTGCTTATTGCTTACTGCTTACTCTCCATCCCACACCACTAACAGAAAGTATACCTAGTGATGTATACTATGGACAACACCACTCTCAACTAATGACATCAACCAATATTTCAAGAAAAAAAAAAGTATACATTATCCTCCCCATCACATGAACACAGGACAGCATCACCAGACCCCTGAGCCAAAAGGCAAAAACAAAACAGACTAACATTAAAATCGGCTCTCGGAACCCGTCGGCCCAGCCTAACACTGAGTTGACTACGGTGGTAATGCCCCGAACTCCTCCTCTTATCCGACTGGAGGAGCATTAGACTACTTCCTAGGCGTCCAACTAGCTTCCTTCCAGGATTGCCGGGACCAATCATTTGATTGTCTGGTTATTAATTGAGGGGCTTGCTCAGGATACCTGGTTGTAGTTGGCGTTATGAGGTAGAATAGGAGAACAAGTAGTGGTAGTGGTAGTAGGGCAGGCGGACACCGAGATCGTCCGTGTTGCTTGCTTGCTTGCTTGTCTGTCTCCTGTTATTTGGATGACGTTTCTCTGTGTGTCTTTGGGGGGTTATAAATAGGGTGTCATGATTCTAGGAGATAGTCTCTTTTATCACCTGGTATTTCTCTATTCATTAAGCCTATTTTGAAGGACTTATACTGCATTCAATATGGTCACTATCACCGCCAAATCTGAGGCAGCTTCTGCTACTTCCCCTATTTCTTCCAATACTATCACTACTACCCTCAACGGGGTAGGCGATCCCAAAAATAAAGAAAAAGATCTTCAACTTCAAGAAAAAGAAGGAGAAGAAGAAGAAATATCCAAAGAAACCAAAGCATACAACTCCTCCAACGGCGTAACCAGCCAACTCTGCACCTGGATCGCCTCCCTCCAGCTGGACGACATCCCAGACTCTGTCCGCACCCGCGCTAAATACCTCTTCCTCGATGGCATTGCCTGTGCCCTCGTTGGTGCGCGCGTCCCATGGTCGCAGAAAGCATTTGACGCGATGACTGCCTTCGAGGAGAGGGGGAAGCATGTGGTCATTGGGTATGAAGAGGTATTTCTCCCTCCTACCTATATAATCTTTTCATCCATGCTATTACATGGATGAATGGATAGAGTTAGGATTATAAAGGTACTAATGGATTTGGCAGCGCCTCGGTGCCATCGCCGCCGCAACCCTCAACGGCTCCTGGATCCAAGCCTGCGAAGTAGACGACTACCACAGCGTGGCGCCTTTGCACTCCCAAGCCGTGGTCATCCCTCCTCTCTTCGCGGCAGCCGTCGGTGCGCGGGACCATCCGACCACCCCGCGCATCATCGACGGACGAACACTTCTTCTTGCCTCGGTGGTGGGGTTCGAGATTGGTCCCCGCGTCGGCATGGCGCTGCACGGTACCGAGATGCTCGCGAAGGGATGGCACTGCGGTTCTGTTTTTGGTGCACCAGCGGCTGCAGGTAGTTCCGCGAAACTCCTCGGTTTGTCAGCGGGTCAAATCGAAGACGCGATCGGAGTAGCAGCGACGCAGGCATGCGGGCTCATGGCGGCGCAGTACGACGGGATGGTGAAGCGGATGCATCACGGGTTCGCGGCGCGGAATGGACTGTTGGGAACGATGTTGGCGTGGGGAGGATACGAAGGGATCAAGAAGGTGTTTGAGCGGCCGTATGGAGGGTTTCTGGCAATGTTTGGACTGGGGTCGAAGAATACGCCTAGTTCGAAGCCAGAGGAGGTGGCGAAGGATTTGGGGACGTTTTGGCATACGGCGGAATGGATTCGGTTGAAGTTGCATGCGTGCTGTGGGGGGATTCACGGCACGATTGAGTGTTTGGCGGAGATGCAGGAGATGTATCCGGAACGACTTGGACGGGAGAAATTAGGAGAGATCAAGGAGATTCGGATTCAATTGAGTGATGCGGTGTTTCATCACTGTGGATGGGCGCCGGAGACGAGGCCGCTGACGCCGACGGGGGCGCAGATGAATACGGCGTTTGTGGCGGCGTCACAGCTGGTGGATGGACAGGTGTTGTTGGAGCAATTTTCGTCGGGGAAGCTGGATCGGGATGAGATTTGGGAGTTGATCGGAAAGACGAGTTGTGTGCATACGACGGAGTTGGATCAGCCGAATATTGGGTGCGGTGCGTTGATTTCGATCGCGTTTGCGGATGGTAGTCAGGTTCAGCATTCGTTGTTGAAGCCGAAGGGGGTGGACGAACCGATTTCGAATGAGGAGATCTTGGAGAAGTTTCGTCGCTTGACAGGAGGGTTGATCGGGGTGGAGAGGCAGGAGAAGATTGAAAGAGCTGTGCTGGGGATGGAGGAGTTGCAGGATGTGAACGAGTTGATTGAGTTGTTGAGTGTGAATGTGGTCAATCCGTTGCAGTAGTGAACTAGTTCTCTTGTTTGTTTTGTACGGCGTTGGTTGTGGTGGGATGCTATATTAAGTAACTAGCAAGTCATTCAACATGGTCAGAATCATTTTTCCACCTAGTAGTCATTCTAAACTGTGTACAGGAAAGCGAAGAGTGCAGGATGATTGTTTATCTCCTATTGAAGAGTCTGTTGAAGACTATCCAGATCACAGCTGGCATACGATTATAAATACGTTTGAGCATCATACATCATTATATCTCTGGTAGCTACCATAGCCATCCATCATCACCTCGAGATCAGTATCCCAGAAACATGCGTCGCCATGACCTATGGACTGGCTATTCCCTGTCAAAGGCCCCAGCTCACGGCTTGGTTCGGAATGATGCGGTGCTGGTGTCTGTGCTAGAAGAATTCGCTCGTGCTGCAGAAGTGAAGTAGCAACCTGACTACAGAGCTGAGATATAGAGCGGATAGTATCGGCATGAGAACCACTACAAGCGTTGGCAGCAAGACACTCCGCGCGTGTGGCGAAGAAAACAAGGGCATTGACGTCGGAGGTCACGGCAGCTGGATTGTCATGAGACTCCGTACTGAGGAGATGGATGTAAACCTCGAGAAAGAGGACAAGGGGGTAACGTAGGAGAATACTGCCAAAACCCGAATTAGCTCTCTGAACGTCAAAAGGTAGAGGTAACGTGGGCCACAATGCAATTCACCTTTCAAACATAGCGAAGCCGGAAATGCTGTCGCCCGGATGGTAGCTCTCACATAGTTCCTGAAGAAGCTGTAACCCCGTGCGAGCGTGCTCGAGTCGAGCGTGGTGACTCTCTGAAGCAGGTATGCAGCGCTGCACTAGCACATGGCAGATACAGAGGGCATATCGCAGTTCAATGGCCTGCTGTGCGGTGGTGGTGGTGCTGGCTGGAGGGTAGAGAATGTGACTGTGCTGGGTGGTCCAATCGTTGAGGCGTCGGACAAGCTTATAGGCACGCCGTCTTAGGCGTTTCCAGCTCAGGCGCGGCATGCTGGCGTAAAGTCTGCGAGAGATTTCCCCTTGAATCCGAGCGAGTGAGATGCGCGCGCCGAATTGGTCATTGAGCAGAATACCGGAACGTGTGGGGAACGGGAGACCAATGTCGTAGGATGGCAAGAGACAGGGCGTGCCAGTTATGGTGGAAGCGTGGTTCTTGTTCAATCAGTGAAGAACGACAATGGCGATGACGAACTCACATCTACAATGAAGAGACACCAGAACAGATTCTGACCCTCCGCGCATAGGTTCGCGGCATTGCCCATGCTCCGGTGTAGTCCCATTGACTTGGCGAGCTCACAGGCATGGGTAAAGGCGGTCTCGAACACAGTAAAATAGAAGTACTTAAGAGCAACCAAAGCCTGGATCAATGTTAGGATCGGGCTCAGAAAAGTGCAGGTCTGTCATACCAGGCTCAGAAGGGCTTGCACGTTTGCCATACGCGGTTCTAGTAGCCTTTGAAAGTTGCTGAAGCATCGCCGGATATTCTGCAAAAGGTGGATGATGAGACTTGCTTCCAGGGGCATTGCGCCCGTCTTCTTCGCTGCGGTGCACTTTCCTTCCAATGCCTGGAGGAGAATGCTGTTGAATGATACGATCCAGGCTGGATCCGGGGCATCCAGCGTTTCATACTGAATTTTCATCGCTGTCAGAACGCTCTGTCGATCGTATATCGGAAGCAACGGGCTGATCTCGGTGAAGTATATATCGATGAAGGCTTCCATAAGGGCTCGTGGTGGAAGACAGGGTGGCTGGTCACTGACTTGAGTAAAATCCAACAGTAAAGGGCTGTCCGTGGCCAGTCGTTGAAATAGCGCACTCACATCGGCAATCTGGGCTTGCAGCACCGATGTAGAAGTGAAGGGGTCTTCAACTGACGGCTCAGGACTGTTCAATGGTGACAATGACAAGACAAACTGGTCACCGGCAGCTTGGGCTTCACCATATATCCAGCTCAATTGCTCATATCCATGACTCCCCAGAGACTCCACAATCGACTGATCTGATAGACCGCCCGCCTGGCTTCCCTTAGAGGTATTCGAGCTGCTCCATGAATCCTCGACACTTGGTCGCCGAGTGTTGGGGCTGTAAGAGGTGGTCGAGACATCGCTGAGAGGCGAGGTGGAGGCTTGTACGCTAGATGAAAATCGGACAAGGGCTTCTTCAAATCGTTGTAAGCGAGTTGCGAGTGATTGAACATCATTTACCCTGCAAAAGGGTCAGTTGCAATAATCAGACGTCTTGAGATGAGAGGCAGACAGTTTCTTGGTATGATCAATCCGCTTCCCCTTGGTGTATTGGCAAACCAATCCTGACTTGAGACAGCTAGAGCACAAGGGCGATTTGCTGTCGCATCGAACTTTGCGAATCCGACATTCGCTACAAGCATGCTCAGGATCTGAGGATCCCATGTTCATATGAATTTTCGTGTTCGTGTTTCAGTGTCGTCTACCGAGAAAAGCGAAATATACGATGTGGGCAAGATTTTGTTCTAGCAAAGAAGGACAAAAGGGATCAGGTGAGGAAAGAGCCTCGCCCCGTATAATCGATATAGAGGATCCATTATACATTCAGAGCCCCATTTGCTCTTCATTCTTGATTTCAAGGTCATCAAACACAATAAAACTGCCAAGAATGCAACTACCATGTTGTCCATAGGAAGGACGACGATCTAGCCTAAAGGAGCACTCAATCTTGAGATCCTACCGGTTCAGCATCAGGCCTAACCGTCTGTGCATTATACACAGAATCAATGACACAATTAGAGCGTCAGAAATTCTTATCCCTAACAAGACAGGCATAGTATCTACCGTTCGTTAGCTTAGTAGCGAAGGCCTGAAGCCGGCAATAGGCCAGGCCTGGTGGTCCATGCTACGGGCCGACGGACTATAATCTTACCTCAGATCATGAATAAGGATCTTGCCGAGACACCGGTATGAGAAAGCCGGGATAAATTGATAGCCGTCTTTGGTTCTGTTGCGAGCCCTCCAGCTTGTTGAATTGCTCTTTTATAGTGTTGTGCCGGGGTGCTGGTTTGCGGAAATGGGAGAGAAAGGTCATCTGCAGGCAAGTCGCCGCTGCATGCTCTGCGACTTAACCCCCCTGTTAGATCATCAATATCATCAATACGGATCATCAGTCTCACTGATAGTTCCCGAGGCCCGAAGATGGCGGCATCGCTCATCATTTGAGTGGGTCATAACTCTCAGGCCGCTGCGGCGCTTCGCAGTTAGTGGAGGACCGACTGGGGATTGCTTGCCGATTAGGGCTAGCTGCCATATTCCAGGCGGCCTTATCTTGAAGGAATACCCGGAAGCTAAAACAGAGGATAATATAGTATATATATAACTTAGTCGAACAAGGCAACAGCCAGTAGATACATCGGTAGAGGTATAGACAGAAAGGAAACACACGCTTAAAGAACGAAATGGTAACAATAGGTCCTATATTATATGAGCAGTAATCATGGCATCAACATATTGCGACTCCTATTGGCCTGGTCGATTGCTCATCGTACGCTGTTCACGATGATGATGGCGATGCAATGTCTGATCGCACATCCTTCCCCGTCACCGAATCGCGGAGACCGGCCGAGTTATTGTTGGTCTCTCGCACCATAATCTTCCCTTTGCCGCCAAATTCATGTCCCGGAACAAGTGTCAGATATCTGTCCGAATCTCCCGTGCAATGAGCGTACTCCAGATCGTCCATGTGCGTGGTAATCGTAGTCGTCACCGTGCCGGTGCCGTTCCAGAACGTTGGCGGTTGGCTTTGCGACGAAGGCGCATGTGCGTAGCCGTAAGCATGGCCCCCACCACTTAGAGTCGAGAGGAAGTGTGGAAGGAGTCGCGAAATGAGAGGCCGGAGGGTAGGCAGGCAAGCACAGATTATCCCCGTGTTGCATTCGATTGCAGACCAGGATGCAGCACCAACATTGTCATCTAAGCATTCTGTTTAGCCACACGCCGCGTGATGCCCATAAAGGGACGACTTACAGGTAGGGTCGCTAGAATCGGAAATCTTCTTCAGGGAAACCAACCGGCAAACACTAGTGACGCAGACACTGGATATAGCGTTAGTAAGAGTTCATCGCCAACAGCGCGTGGGTACTGGGACACTCACAATCCACCCAGAGCGAAGATTGAAATCAAGGCCATTTTCTGCCTCTGCGGCAATTCAAGCCCCGACAAGGCCGGGATTGGTATCAATAGAATCACAATATCGGTTGCGATGTGCATGGACGCATTCGAGAACCACAGTCCCTCCATGCTCAGACAGTATCCCGGAAGAGTGGGGTTCCAGAATTTGGCGACGGGGATACAGTTGAGGAAAGCACTGAGAACCGCCCACGACCCGTAGGTAGCAAGCACACCGATCATGATCCAAGAAATACGCCGCATGCGCCGGGTTGGGAACACGCGAAAATACTGCATTAATATTGACGCTTTGGCAAGCAGCAATGCAGCATTGTAGAACGGAATGGTAAGCCAGAATGCCTGATCGATCACACTTATGTTAATGAAAAGCAGTGCATACTGTATAGAAGTACTGACTTACCTTCATCTGCTTTAACAGGACTGATGGTGGGATGTGTGCCTCATGCATGCCCATCCCATTCATGGCCTCCACAACAAATAGGCCCATAAAGACATAGGACAACGTCTTGCCAATCCTAATAGTCAGCAACCTGCTACCTTTCCGTCGAGGATTCATGCACCTACCAAGGATAGCATTATCATCCAATCGTTTGGCTCCATGCGATGCATCAACTTGGTGCGCGTGTAAATACGAGCGGCAACACAACATGTTGCTAAACTGGTAAAGACAACACTGACGGCTAACGCTCGACCCCCCCGGGGTGACATGTATGACCCGTGCGCACCATCGTCCGTCCGGGCGAAATGGTTGTGGGAGTCCATCATGGTCGCTTTCAAAACGCTCGTTCCGTGGGAGCAGTCGTGGACAAGGCTTAGTCTGTCGGGGCTCTAGAGACAAGATGGGCTGAACAAGGGTACAATGCGGCCGAGGGTTCACGAGTACACGGGCCTCTGTGTACAGAGACCAGCAACGTTACTCATATAAAACCTGGGGTCCGATTGACCCCCCAATGAGCGAAAGGAGCACTTTTTCCGCGTGTCACTGTGAGGGGGACACTCGCAGGGGAAGGGGGAAAGAATGGGGATATAAACGTTTTGCGCCTGAGCAGACCCAGTAACGGTTCTGTCTGACTAGAAGGATGCGAATAGACCAATGGTACCCAAGCCCGTGAAGATCCTCAGTCATGTCTAATTGCTGCTCCGGATTCACGGACCGACCCTAGGACAGGAGCTGGGTCCAATTAGTGTGGTGCAGAAAGGGAGGGTAGGAAAAGCAAGCAAGGGAGGAGACAAATAAGCAAATGATAGAGAGCAGCCACAATGTGGTCCTGGGACAAACTCAGGTTGATAGATGGGTAAAGGCAACAAAAAGGTACATTTGGTGCCTCGCGCGGTTTACTTTTTCTAGTTTTTCTTACAGCTGTTGTGCGTAAGTTTCGCGGAGAGTGACTGGAGACGTCTCCATGCATAGCAGGGGCCTAAGCGACAAGTTCCAGCCCTGTGGTGTCTCTAGGGTTATGGATACTGTCGATGATGATCAGCCATTGACTGCATCCGCGGCCATCGAAAAAGATACCGCCCAGTCTGGTCTGTCGAAGACAGAAGTGGAGAGACGGTGGATCGACGGTGTATCCAAAACTCTCCTCTGGTTGGATGCATACATGGATCGTTCTATGCGTCTGCGGAGGCACTTGCATACGACCGGCGTGCGTACGGAGTACATTGTGCGTAGAGCTGTCTGTCTCCAACCTGACGAATCTTGACGGGCTGGATGACAGTCTGCCCAGCCAGCAGATCGTGGAGCCCAGGACTCCTTGACCTGGGACTGGGGCCGGAGCTGTCATTGAGCCATGCCACGGCGCAGAGGCCAGGTAACCTGCAAGAAGCGATTATCTCCGAGTCTGTCCTTTCCATAGTGCCTGGTAATGGCCTGTGCCCCTGGTCGACATCAGGTGACTCTCTGTTTTCCCCCCAAGAGCGTCTTGCTTGGTGATGTTGTACAGGGAGGGGATCAATCAAAATTAGTCCTGCCACAGGTCCTACACAGGGGCAGGGATGAGCAGAGCAAGGGATGCAGAGGACTGTCATACTTTCTCCCCTGTCAACACTATCATAAACCTCGAAATGATTGATTCATTTCTGGACAAGCACTTCAACTTGTGAGGGGGAGGCATTATCCGTTATCAAAAGTACTTTTGGGTGCGCCAGCTGGCCGATGCGACCTGTCATTTCCTTCTTTGGGAATTTCATGGCATGATCTCCGGGGCCTTAAACAGAGCCACATTGAATAACGGACATGCAGGGGGGCCAAAGTACCGTACAGGCGGAAATTCGTGTCTCTATCTACAGCCCGTGAGGAGACTCGACGGATAGACCATCACTTTTGTCAAACAATGCTGATTGATCGGTAGGGTGCTAATGTTGGTGCGATTATTTGACTGAAACACCCGGCGTGGAAAAGAAAGGCGATGTATCACATCCGACTAGGCGCGCCGGGACCTTCCTCCGGGTTGGCCAAAAACAGCCAAGTGCAGACGAAAATCGAGCCCGCTCACTTAATTATTGTCTATTGATCTTTAGAATTGGATGATTATCGGTCGCATTGTCGCTTGGCCATAGCGTCCAGTTTTTAAGAAGGAAAGCAGCATCTGGTGCTGCGCATTCGGCTCTGGTGACCCTCACTCGTCGCCACCGCACTGATAGTTCCACGCAGAGCCATGTCCATTGGTTGATCAGTACGCCTACACTTTGGATTGACCGAAGTGGGGTCTGCGTCAAGATCTCGTACCAGCCAAAAGGAGTTGGGTAACACAATCGTGGCACTCATCCACTCCCAATTATATATCTCGGGAATCATACCCGTGGCAAGTCGGTCAAAGAATCATCGATATTACTACTCGAGACGTTTTCTTGGACTATTCGCGTCAACAGTGATCATGAACTAGTCGTGGATATGGAGTATTTGTCGCCTAAGTTTGACGATATGGAGACGAGGCAGCTGGTTGCCTTCTGGTCAGACAGCGAGCGTCTGGACAGGTCGAGCGCAGCGATATTTTCTATATATAAACATTATTAGGAATTCTGCCATGCATCGAATAGAGCATAAGCATGGACCACAAGATGATAAAGTCCACACGTGGACACACACATTCTCTCTATCTGTCTCTTTCTCTCTTTTTCTCGTCCTTCTTGCGTGTCTACTCAAAATTCGTGTCGCTCGGCGACGGTGACTGAAAGAGTCTTCCAGTTGAAGTATCAGCTGGCATTTGCGCGCCACCGTTTTGCCAAAGCCAATCAAACATGATAAAATAACCCAAAATTTTGAAGTGCCTGTTGCTTTGACATCTGTGAGCCATGCACGATAGCCATAGATCCCAGTCACATACAGTAGTTTCTGAGTCGGATTGAAATCATCCGCTGTACGGGATACCTGTCAGCAAAAGTCCACCGGACGAACGGCCTATCAGTCTTTTGATTCCATGGATACCTGCATTAGTGTGAAGATAGATAGACGCATGTCCAGGGTACTGTACGCACTTCTGCAGTCAGACGGAGTACTCCGTCCAGGCACCTCCATTCAGAGTCCGCAAACTGACTGTGTGCAGGTCGACACGAAGAATGAGTCAATTGTATGCAAGTACTTTTGGCAAGTGGGCACACCGTGGCCCTGGTCGGTTGATGCTAGTCGCCATCGTTTATTTTGCTAAGGACAGAACACGCATTCCTCTCAATTTTCGCGCGGAGAGCTCGGCATCCTGATGGTGCCATGAGAAATTAATGGAATCCTCATGATGATGCCAATCCCCTCGATTGTTAATTTTTCGATTTCCGAGAAAATCGTGGTCTTGGGAGGCTACTGGTGTGCTGACCATTCTGAGTCCTCGTACTTTGGATGGCTCTAATGGATTATGGACGGGGGTCTTCTGCATCGGAATGACCTGTCACTGCCATGTGATTTGAAATACATAGACTTTGTATGCGGATGTCCAAATGATAGACAGACCACGATAGTGGCTTTTCGAGGGAATCTGTCAGAATATTCTGAATCTTCCGGGACGATGAATCAGACAAAGGATTTCCGGCTTGTTTACAACAGCACTGGCCAGTTGTCGCGCGAGTGTTGGTGAAAGTCGGAAGAGTCTCGATAAGCGGGCGCTAAGATAAGAAACGATGCACAGACCAGTTGAAAATCCCATCCGAGGAATTTCCATCCAACGATTGCGGCCCAAGAGTCAATCAATATACTTACTCTCACATTGGTCCCCCATTTAGGAAGTTCACTAGACGGTCGCAGAGATATTATCATTATCTACCGCCAAAATGACGGACTCGGCATCGCCTGCGAAGCCCGTCCATACCATCGTCCTGGACGCCGGTCCCATCTTGAAGAATACCCCGCCGCTATCCACGCTGCTCGCACAATGCGAAGAACTCCTCATCACCCCCTCCGTCGTGAGCGAAATCCGTGACCCTGACGCCCGCCAGCGCGTGGAGACACTATACCTTCCCTTCTTGAAGCAGCGCACACCATCCCCGAAAAGCGTCAGCGTCTTGAGCGAATTTGCACGCAAGACTGGTGATCGGGCTGTCCTGAGTAAAACAGATATTGAGGTACTGGCGCTTGCATACGAGGTGGAATGCGAGCGCAATGGTGGCGACTGGAGACTGAGAAGCGTTCCGGGGCAGAAACAGGTGAACGGGAAGCCTCCGGTGAAGGAGGAGAAGGCCGAAGAGAAGGGAGAGGAGGCTAAAGCCGAAGAGGCCAAGGGTGAGACTGAGGGCGAGACCACTCAAAAGGAGGAGAACAAGGACGAGGTTGCTGAGGTGGATGCCGTTGCAGAAGATCTGAAGAACGCAAACCTGGAAGACAAGGAGACCAGCACACAGGAGACCGAAGTGCAAAATGCCCCCGCAGAGGTCGAGGCGGAGGAATCAACTCCTCAGGACGCCGATGCCCAAGAGGAGGAAGATGATGGCGATGATTCGGATGGTGGTTGGATCACTCCCTCCAACTTGAAGAAGCGACAGGCCCGCGATGAGGCTAGCTCTGCGGCTGCGGCGCCAGAGCCCAAGGTGATGCAGGTTGCCACCATGACTACCGATTTTGCGGTATGCTTTGAAACTTACTTCAATGTCCATGTTCCTTACTAACTATAATAAAGTGCCAAAACGTGCTGCTGCAGATGAACTTGAACTTGCTCTCCACTTCCACTCTGCAGCGAATCCGCCATCTGAAGTCTTTCATCAAGCGCTGCCATGCCTGTTTCTTCACCACCAAGGACATGAACAAGCAATTTTGTCCCCGCTGCGGCAAGGACACGCTCACTCGTGTCTCCTGCACGACAGACGCGAATGGACAGTTCAAGATGCACCTGAAAAAGAACATGCAGTGGAACAACCGCGGCAATCGTTTCAGTGTTCCTAAGCCCGTACACGGCACCTCCAATGGAAAGTGGAAGGGAGGTGGTGGTAAGGGTGGCTGGGGAACGGAATTGATCCTGGCGGAAGACCAGAAGGAGTATGTTCGAGCCACCGCAGAGCAGAGCCGCAGAATGCGCAAGGAGCACGACCTCATGGATGAGGACTACCTCCCGAGCATCCTGACCGGAGAGCGGAACAATCACGGTCGAATTCGTGTGGGAGCTGGCAGAAATGTCAACTCGAGGAAGCGGTAATGGCATGGCTTCTCGTCTCTTTGCATCAGTCTGGGTTGGCGTCTGGCTCAAAAGTTTATGGCTGCACCTTTGGTCTACTTCTGCGATGGATTATGATGAATGGTTCGTGTTCAACGATTTATAGAGCATGCACATAGCATATGCTAGGTAACGAATATAGAGCAAATTCTTGGATGGTATATTTTGCACACTAAGATACCGGCCATGGGCACCGCACAGAAACCGAACAAAAGTTTCTCATCGTCCAAAGACCATAGATAACACCATTCGCCATTAATGATTCAAAGCACCTTTTGTATCTCAATCATGTTATTCCGTCAACCAGCTTACAGCTTAGCAGCCTCCTTGTCTGTAGTCTGCCGTCAGCCATATCCACTATATGGGGACTCGCACTCGGGGTTTCATACCGGCTTGCTGGGTCATAAGCAGACCGTATCTCTTCTTGAGGGTCACACGGTGCCTAAATAGCCAATATCATTAGTCCACAAATTCTCTCCAATGTGCCTGGAGATCGTCGGCGAAAAGAACCTACCGAGAGTACTTGTCATCGGGAGAGAAACGGGCGGGGTGAGCACTCTTGGTAACGCGACCGTCCTCGGTAACCTTCTTGAGGGTGTAAACCCGCTTGCCATCGGGGCCCAGAGAGTCTTTGTGCATTCGTTAGTTCGGATTGATCGAGGGGAGTCCGAGTGCGGAGAAACATACACATAAGATGCATTCTAGAGGACTTCAGTCAGTACGAGTCAGTAGCATTGGAGTAGACTGCAAATAGACTCACTTGAAGGATTAGTTTTGTTAAGCGACTGGAAGACGAAATGAAGGTGCTGGGTGTTGAACGAGTGCGTTTATCGATGCCAAACCGCTGCACTTGAACTTCGGCGATACGCAGGAAATTTTTGGCGGACCGAACGGGGCACGGGCCAAGGGCCAGCTTAGTCACGCGCGGTCCCATTTAAGGCTGCCCAAGCGAGCTCCAAACACTTTTTTCTTCCTTCCGCAAACCATCCCATCGCACTTCAGGCAGGATGAGGGAATGTTGAGGATGTTGATGATGATAATGCGCATCCATTCCCGTCTTGCATAATGACTCTGGGATCTTTTCGCTAATTGATATATTGTATTTTTAAAGATACACTACATCGCATCACGAGGGACAAGCTGCCTCTCGTGTAATGGCTTGACCAACCCCAGATCTTGCACAGGATTTCGGGTAAGCTTCAGCCAGCAGCCTTGTCGGTCTTGCTGGAAGGATTTTTGCTTTCATTGTTTTCTCCGGTGATGATCACATACCTAAGCTTAGGCAATGGCAACCTTGATTTCTCGCTGTTGTCGATGAAGGCTTTGTATTGACTACAACGGTATCTGAGGAGAAACACAACAATGATTCTGATTACTTCTGTCGGGGTTGGCGATGGCGGCTACATTCCAGCTTGTAACTGAAGAGTTTCTTGCTGACTCTTCCCTGTAGTTAGAGAATCGAAAATATCTATCCAATTGAGCTTATAAGATTTACTGTTAAATATGGCTTCCAATACAATTCCTAGTCCTGCTTCGGAGACTGTTGCTCCTGGCAAATCCGACTTTTCTCAGAAAAACAATGCCTCCCCAGCTCGTCGTTCGCGGCCTCCAAGGCCCAATTACCGACACATCCATCGCTTCCCCTTCCCGGTCGAGGTGCATCCTCTCCCTCCTCTCATCCCCCATAACCCTCTCTCGCTCGTCAGTGTGCTGCTGTCCTACCTGACGTACTTTATTTCTCCCCCTCATCAGGAAGTCTACTCCGCCTACTTTGACTCGGCCACATCCTCGGTTCATGTCACAGACCCTAAGGCTATAAAAGCCCTCTGGGAGATGGGTTTCTTTGGTAAGGGAACCCTGAGTCGAAGTGAGCCGAGCTGGCTTGAGCGTGAGAAGAAGAGACGAGGATTACTTGGGGGGATGACTAGCGAAGAGGTCACACGACAGCGGCGGACGGAACGTCGCGAGTTGAAACTGGAGCGCGCGAGGATGGAAAAGCTTGCCATTGAGGAGAGACTCAAGGCCGAAGCGGCTGCCAGGGAAGGCACTGCGACGCCAAACGAACAGTCATCCCTCTCACCCACTCCGAATGGTGTCTCTGAAGGCACAGTACCAATTACGGAGAAGTTCTCCCTGAGAAAAGCACGGGAAGCCAGGGAAGCCAAGCTCCTTGAGTCACAACGTCCAGTATCACAAGACGGCAATACACGCACCCCTAACTCCGCCGGAAAGCGGTCACCTAGTGGCAGCAAAACTGTGCGGTTTTCTCCGGTTGTTCAAGCCAAGGAGTTCGCTTCTGATTCGGCTATCTTGAGCTTGCCAGAAATGTCTGCAGATAGAAATACGGACGGAGGTAAGGCGAATGATGAGCCAAAATTAAGTAATGAAGAGCACCTTCAATTATCTAACGAAGAGGCCTTCTTCCTTGCATATGGGCTGGGAGTCTTGCGTGTGCGCGATGATACTCGCACATCCGAGATTCCTACATCTTCCCTGTTGCCATTATTATGTCAACACTCTTACTTCCCTCCTGGAGCTCCGTCAGCGGATCCCACGCCGGACGACCCATTCATGATATCCTATGTTGTGTACCACCATTTCCGGTCTTTGGGGTGGGTTGTGCGCTCCGGAGTGAAATTCGGTGTGGACTATATCCTCTACAACCGTGGGCCGGTCTTCTCACATGCTGAGTTTGCTGTCGTGGTTGTCCCGTCCTATGGTCATGGCTACTGGTCTGAAACGGCCGAGCGCAAGGCCCAGTGTGAGGAGAAGATGGCGCGCAGTTGGTGGTGGCTGCATTGTGTCAATCGCGTCCAGGCCCAGGTGAAGAAGAGCTTGGTAGTATGCTATGTGGAAGTGCCTCCGCCAACGTCCTACGAGCTTGACACTCCCTCGGAAGAGGATATTGGTGCAATGTTGGCTCGTTATCAAGTCCGGGAGATGGTTATTCGAAGATGGGTCCCCAATCGGACTCGGGACTAAGATGGGTACATCATCTGGTTTCTCTGTACTATATGCAGCGTGTTGTTCGAGCGTTTGGGTTTTCTTTTGGCAAGACGTAAAGCACTTCACTCATTGTAACCATATGTAACCCTGCTCCTCTCACGAACACAATGGTTGGCATTGCTGATCGTGAAATTCCGAATTGACGAATGCAACGTTAACCTACTCCTGCGCTCCTTATATAGTACTGTTCATCCTCTTGTTCTATAGATGGACGGTAGATAGTCTTTCCAGGCTTATCAATTTGGTGAAGCTAAACCTGGAGCGGTAATATTGACATATCACGTGAGTGACGCGTTTCGCGTTTTGATTTTGCGGTATTCTGTCCCTTTGGAGAAAAGCACGAGAGCAGTCGAGGAACAGCCGACTGGTGAAGTTTCCGTGGGTTCGGGGCGCCAGGCACCTCGGCAATGAGCCATCACTTGTGCTGTGTAACTGGGACCGCAGTTTAAGAGGGATCATGGAGACGCAGGAGGATAGCATCGACATCGCGAAGCTGCAACGCGTCGCGTTGGGGCTTGTGAGTGACGGCCTCTCCCGGTGGCGGAGTTTCTGATCTGCATTCGCTAACATCATCCGTCTGCTATCCATCAGGAATCTGCAACTTCGCAGCTCCAATTTCATGGCCTGGGGACAGTTGCAAATCTCAACTGTCACCCGGAAGCCCATAAAAAGTCGCCGTTTTCCTCTCCCGCTCACGAGAAGGCTCGATTATCCCCGACGCCGTCGTCGCCTTCACAGTCATCCTCGCGATCACATAATGCCACAACTTCGATGAACACGAACGCAGCATTCAAAGCCAACTCCACAAACCCTTCTACGGCCCCAGTGCCTCCGTCTACGAAAATGCCTTCAGTCGATGCCGTCCCTTCGGACACGCAGGTCGTCTCCCAGTCGGTTTACGATGAAATAATAAGGAAGAACCAGGAAGCTGCGGGCAACGCTCAGGAGAGCAATTTGGGTGATCAGGCAACGCTTATGACCCTTCATGAGGGCGATAGCGGTCATCTTGACTTGCTATCTGGCTACGATCCTCTCCATACTGATGCTGCCAACGAGGACCTTGAGGATCAGAGTAGCTCTAAGCTAGGAGAATCTTCGCCCATGCTGCATCAGCCGAATCTTTTTCCAGAGTCGCAGCGGTTCTTGACAAAGACTCCTATGACGGCAGTGAAGCGTGCCCATTCTGAGGGTCTCGCCACTGTGTCTCCCACTGCTTCGCGGAATCCCCTCGCGGCAGACATCGGGTCAAGCGGTGGGATATTGGCATTAAGTCAGGTATTCAGGGCAACTCAGGCACCGTCGTCTCCTCTAGTGAACGGTCAACATTCCGACCTCGTGTCAGACCGACCTTCTCCTAATATACCCATCCAGAGCCATCCAGTCGCGACAACGCTCTCCTCACCTTACAATAATTTCGCCGCAACCTTTCCACGGGACACGTCCGCCAACAAATGGAACTACATCAGCATGCAGGAATCCCAAGCCAACCGGGATAAGGCATTGCATGAAAGAATGACACGTTCTGCAAACCATGTGTACTCGGACCAAAGCGACGGGGAATTTGATAAGGAGCCTAGTTTTGTTGAGCGGATGAGGCGCCGGAAGATGTTTAACCACGAGGCTGATGCTCAGCTTGTGGAGCTCACAGCACCTGCGAGGCCATCTAGTCGGCGTGGTAATCAAGCGAACATGATCATAAATCCCGTATCTGAAGTGCCGGAAGGGCCAGATCTGACTGATGGGTCTTCTGGAGAAGTCGAGGAGGTGAGAGAGCAGGGGTCTACCGGGCTGCAGCATGGGGCGCTCAGCGAAGAAGAAACAGAACAAGAGCAAGAGGATGACTTGGAACACCCCACGCCACGGCCTTACGAGCTCGATGGTTCAGCTGAGGAGGATAAAGAAAATTGCCACGACCTTTCCACAACCAGTGCTGCTGCTGCGAGTGCGCATGATCGCCTATCGCAAGCTCTTGCCTTGCATGAAAGTCCATGTCCAACCAATGGGGAAGCGGTAAATGAGCGAGAAAGGTCGCTTTCGCGCTCTGGAAGCTTTGTACAGGATGAGCAATTGCATGAAGGCTACTCCTCACAGGTCTCAGTCATTAAGGACTCTCAGCGCTCCGCTGGTCGGAGAGATCCTGGTAATCACGGCACAGAGGAGCAATGGACCGCGCAGCGCATACATCAATCCGGCTCTCAGGCTCATATGGAGCCTTTGTCTAATGTAGACAGAGCAACTCCATCGCCCACAAAGCAAGTCCGTATACGTTCTTCTCCCCCTTCAGCGTCCCAGACCAGCCGACGATCGCTCGAGCTAGGCCGCGCTCACTCCGTAAGCAGGACTGGATCAGAGCTGGGCAGCCCATCTCCCTCCCAGACTCCACGGGCCTCGTTGGCGCAAGAGCGTAACATGATTGAGTCAAGCAACTCAGCTGTGCAGGGGGTTGCGGATACAGGCGATGCACCATCTACGTTTGATCGTCCCGAGAAGTCCTCATCCATGCCCTCGCGCGTCGCCGAGACTCCCGTTGCTCCCAGGGCTTTTGCAGAAATTATACCAATGACAAGCATTCCTGAAACGAGTCCCAGCCGCCTTGGTCACCAAAGATGGCCGAACGACCATAATACAACCGATGCAGCCGATCAGGAAGATGATGACTTGCCACCGGTGTACATGGATGCGCACGAACGAGGGTCTCGTTCTCAGCCGATGGTTTCAGACAGCTCGTCGCCTATGAAACCTTCTTCGTTCCATAATTCGAAGATTCTCTCCAGCCCAAGTGGCAGACAACGCAGGGCACTGACGGAAATCGCAGCCGATGCTTCACCACAAATGGGTGCTGGCTCCTTCAACCTCGACATTAATATTCTGTCCGCCGATGACCGGGAGTTCCGGTCTGCGGTTGCAATGTCTCCTATTCAGCCAAGGAAGAAGCGCCGCGGTAACGGTGGACAGAGTATTTACGCTTCCGACCCAGTTTTCCCTGTCACACCTCGCGCGCCTACTCATGTCGTGCCTCCTCCAGAGAAGAATATGCCACCTATCACTGAGACGGAGCCGGAAAAGCCGGCTGAGCCGGCTACCAAGCCAATGCCAGCCTATCGGAGACGGGCGAAACCCTCTAGAAGAGCGGAAAGCATATGGGATATGGATGAATCTACACAGTATCACCTCTCTCGTAAAGAGAGGTCTCGGATTCTAGCTCGCTCTCATCCGGTGAAACAGGTACCTACTGAGGTCGAACAGCATGTTCCCATCCAAGAAGATCTGCCTGCCATACACGAGGACCAGGCGGCCAGTTCAATGCCTGAGCCATCCAGTGAGCCAGTGGGGCCCCAGCCAACAGAGACAGCACCTGAGAAGGATCCAGTCACGGAATCTCCACCTCGAGTTCAAAATCCAGCTCAGCCTTCAGTCGGTCACGATAACGTACCTATCGCGGTCAACCAAGTTCTTGCCCCTTGGAGTGGTCCAAAGCGCGCGTACTATCCTGCAACGTGCTTTGGCAAGCCATTTGGCACATCGCAGTCGCGGTATCTTGTCAAATTCGAAGATAGTGCACCGCTTGAGATTCCTACTGGAGCGGTGAAACGACTTGAGCTGCGTATCGGTGATGGTGTGAAGGTGGACATGCGCGATGTTCCCAAGGTGACACATATTATCTCTGGGTTTGCCGACAAGCTCAGTTTGAGTGATATCGAACAGGGAGCTGCGAACGGACTGATTCCTATGACCGATGTGTATGGATATTCATCCGTTATCCTGACACCGAAGCAGCGCAAGAGTCTCCCTGGCCCAGGGCTAGCAGTCACAGAAAACAGGATTACTGTTCCTATATCCCGAATCTACCTAGATACCATCCTTTGGAATCAATTGAAAGACCGGGCATTCAGCTATGATTCCGAGCCTTCATTTTCCCAGAACGGACCCCAAACGCCAGCCGACAGGCACTCCACGCCCATGTCCCCTGGTGCTCGACTCTCGCGCAGCTTCCGTTTTTCCACTGGTCTATTTGCTGGTATGGTATTTGCGGTATCATACGGAGACAACAACGAGGCCAAATCACGTATCACAAGGATGATAATGGAGAATGACGGCCGGATTCTAGAGGACGGGTTCAACGAGTTGTTCGAACTCCCTCCCAGTGCACCAGTTGCTACACCTACCAAGTCTTCAGCTTCAGTCCCTAGTACCCAAAACGGCCATCTCCGGCTGACCAGTGGTGCCGCAGACGTGGGCTTCGCCTGTCTAATAGCCGATAAACATTCCCGTCGGTCGAAGTACATGCAAGCCCTGGCTCTCAATCTCCCCTGTCTCTCAGACCGCTGGATCGAGGACTGCGTTGCCCGAGGACAAATCCTCGATTGGGAAATATATCTCCTTCCAGCCGGGGAGTCCATCTACCTTAACGGCGCAACCAAGTCCAGATTTTTAACCCCATACCCTGCCACAGAGGCCCGACTGTCCGAGACCATTGCTGGACGGCCAAATCTCCTGAACGGACAGTCAGTTCTTCTTGTCACGGGACGCAGTGGGCGAGCAGATGAGGAGAAACGCAAGGCGTACCTCTTCTTGACATACGCGTTGGGTGCTTCTCGTATTGAGCGCGTGCCTGATCTCAAGTCTGCGCGTGCGATCCTGAGTGCGACGCAGACGGATTGCACCAGCTGGAACTGGATCTATGTCGATGATGATGATCGAGCGTTTTCCGCCAAAGCCATGGCACTAGGAAGTTCATCGTCGACCGCCGGTTCGCGGAAGCGTAAGCGGTCGAAGCTGATGGAATCCGTTGACAGCAATGAGCTAGGAGTGAACAGTAATGTCAAGATTGTCGGCAATGAGTTTCTCTGTCAAAGCTTGATCTTGGGAAAGTTGTTTGACCAGTAATAAATTGGATCTAGTGGGGTTAACATCTTCGACGATCATCTATGATGAATGTATGGGGTCTGGAGTATCTGCTTGTTTTTCATGCTTGCTGCTTTGATCAATCAGTGTGTTTGCGAGACTGATACTGATAGCAATATACCCTGGAGTCTGCTACTCTGTTAAAATCTCAGTTATTGTTCTAATTAAGAAGAAAAGGAGTAGTAATTGCAGCCCATTCACAGACGTCTTATGATACATACATACATATAGGTAGACAGACACAAAAGAAACCCTAGAACCAGAACTAATATATCACACACACGCAGTCAAATCTCTCTCTGATATAATCTCCATCACATCATCTATTTTCCACCCTTCTTCTTAGCGCCCTTCTTCTTGTTCTTCAAGCTCTTCATCTGTGCCATCCGTTCAGCCTTAGCCGTCCTCTTTCTCCATGCCAACCAACGGTTCTTGCGGTTATACGGCTTGGCCGTAATACCAGCCTTCTCCGCAGCCCGACCAATACTCCAGTTAGCCTCACGGTACATATAACCCGGACGCAACTGAACCGCAGCCTGAGCAGCCTCAACCTTAGTAGCACTGCCAACCTGCGTCCCTTCCTCTCCAATCTTAGCCACCAAATCGCCCTGCTTGGCGGCCAACTCCTCCTCAGGCTCAAACCGAACCGCCACGCGGTTCAACTTCCGCCTAGTAGGCGCATTCTTCGGTGTCGGCAACTTGCCCTCCTTCTCAAACACAACTCCAATGTACTTCCGATCCGGATGGCGCTCAGGGTCCAGGTAGTACCGTACATACCCAGCCTCAGCAGCGTAGATGGTATGGTCGCGGCCCATGGCGCAGTTCTCGCCAGGGAACCATTTCGTGCCTCGTTGCCGGAAGATGATGCATCCCGGCACGACGTATTCGCCTGCTGTGCGTTTCGCGCCGAGACGCTTGCCAGCCGGATCGCGGGAGTGACGGTTCGCGGTACCTTGAGAGGCGTGGGAGGCGTGTCGGACTTGGAGGAATTGGTGTAATGTTGGAGATGCTAGCGGGGTGAGCTTGGTTTGTGTTATGCTGGTTGCGGAGAGGATGGAGGAGGTGTTGCGGAGGAGCGAGGAGGTGTTGCGGATGCTGGTGGTAGCGGCGGTGGGGGTTCTGGTGAGTCCCCTTTCTAGAGCCCGGAGGGGCGCTAGAAGACGAGGTTGGAACATTGTGTGGGTTGGGGAATGATGTTCAATGGGATTGAACTGGGGGAGGGAGATGGCTCGCTCTATTCCGGGGCTGCTTTTTTTCGCGGATCGGAGATGGACTTGGCGGGTAAGGTCACGTGCCGGATGCGGCCAGATGGCCGGTAAGTTATCTACAACTATATACTTCTCTGCTGGCTTTTATCGATGATTTGATTTGCTTCGCTTTTTGATTTGGATATATTGCTCGCTTGTTTGTTTAGGCACCATTCGCAATGTTCTCCTGGATTCGGCTCCTCGGAGCCCTTCTTCTACTTGCCTCCGTGGCTCACGCCCAGTTCCAGTTCTTTGAGCATATGTTTGGAGGCGGCGGCGGCGGTGGTGGTCACCAGGGTCGTCAGCAGGCGGCGCAGAATGTTCCAAGTGATAGCTCGCGGTATCAGAGTCAATGGGACTCAGGTAAGTACTGTATATTTCGATTGAGCTATGCGTGCAGCGCTGATCCGCACAGCCCATTGCGATAAATACCTCTGCCCTGGCACGCTCGCATGCGTCCATTTCCCGCATCATTGCCCGTGTCCGCATCCCGATGTCGAAGAGAAGGTTGAGCTTGGAGAAGGAAGTGCCGTTTGTGTGTCAAAGGGAGGATACAAGGAGGGTGAGGCGGCGCGGAAGATTGAGCTGGCGCGCAAGGGTCTTTTGTGATTGAAATGTCTGAAAGTGGTTACATGTCGCTTTTCAGCTGAATTGGGGGTTATTGGTGTTGGTGTTTGTGCGTATTGGTTCTGAATATGTCTTATGGATTCTACTGTTCAGGATGTCACTTCTGAGGCCTGCGCGTTGATCTGCGTCCTGGCTGAGTGACTCTTGCAGCATTATCGCTATGTTACTGTCGAAGGGCTCTTGGATTATTACATAGGCAGCTGCTCTCTTGATTGGAGCAGTCAGCAACTTGAAATCCGGGATATCGCCTTGCGCTCGGGTTGTTGATCAGAGAGACCAATCCGCACCTAATACGTACATTTTAGGCGTCTGCGCTTACTTTACGGCGTCATTTTAAAAATTATAATATGCATTCCAATGTCAATCTTATCAGCACTGTGTGTTGTAAGCGGTTGTATCGCAATCAGTCTTAGGCAGACTATCAGCACAGCTGTGGAGTAGGTTAGTCCACGTAGGCAGAGCTGGAAAAGACAATCTGGAACGACATGGGAGAGGTCAATTCTTCAATTGACTACAATCATCTGTCTAAATAAGGGTGTCCCTCGATACTACTGAAACTGCTGTTCCGTGTGGATTATCATGACTTATGGTCATAAGTAGTACTTGAATCATTGTGTGATCAGTTGGAGCAGATCACTTCAAGGGCAGAACGTGTTAAATAAATATATTTAGTATCAATCGAGTCCAGATATCCAGTATTAAAACTGAGCCGGTTGGAGATTGTTCCTATACACTGGAGTTAGAGCTTCTTATACACTTGTTTGTAGGTATTCCCAACACAGATGAGAAAGTACTGTAAAATAAATACCCTGAGTTATCTCGCAATCAGTTTGCGGGGTGGATGAAGGCAAAGAGGGCAGCGGATGGATGATCAGCGTCTTATCGCCGTTAACTCCGCCCGCTCCCGCAACTTCGTCATCGCGGGAATCTTCCATCTTTCTCTTCCATCTTCAGCTTATTCAACTCTACTTCTCGGTGCTACAGTCACCTTACATACCTTTGTCTAATTTCGCATCATACATTTTTACCGACTGGCCCCCAACACTGGAATGTGGAGTGCGCTCCGAACACCACCGGCGCAGTGCCTTCGAGCTCCCGGTCGAGCTCTCGCCAGCTCACTTCGCGGCCGACCCAACCCCCGAGGCCCCCGAAATTCCATACGCAGGCCAGAGCCCATCAGAAGAGACGTCCCAGCGTCGCGAGCGCCTGAACCCAGCAATACAGAGACATCTCCCGAAAATCCCACGCCTCAATATGACCCCTCCCAGAACACCCTACTCGCCCCAGTTCACATCCCCGAAGACCCTCATGGCGTGATAAAAGAGACGCACCCGGCGACGGGTATCCTCGCCAACTCAGGTCTGGTGGTGCAGCGGCAGTTGGAGCTCATGAATGTGATGATTGGATTCGAACAAGCCAACAAATACGTCATTATGGATGCCAACGGCAACCATATTGGCTATATGGCGGAGCAGGAGAAAGGCATGGTGAACATGATGGCGCGACAATCGTTCCGAACGCATCGAAGCTTCGTGACGCATGTGTTTGACAAGCATGAGAATGAAGTGCTTCGGGTAGGTATCGATCTGCCAGTTACTTGTGGATGATGCTGACTGCGTAGTTCCACCGTCCGTTCTCGTGGATCAACTCCCGTATCCGCGTATATGATCCTCTCGACCTGGCAAAGGGTGCCTATTCCTCGTCCACTGCACTACAGGCAACCTCAGCCGGATCTCTGGTCCAGCCTACAGGGGACTCGAATGCTCGGGTTTCATCCTTGGGCTTGGATGAAATACGGGTTATCGGAGAGGCTCAGCAACAATGGGCTCCACTACGGCGGAAATACAACCTCTTCACGTATCACCACTCGCCAAATCCAGCGACAGAGATGAAAACAGAGAAGCTACCGCTTAACCAGATGGATTTGTCTAATAAGCAGCAAATGCAGCTGGTCCAATCATCTCAGAGTGGCCAAGAAACGGGCGAATATCACCAATTCGCCTACGTGGACGAGCCTTTCTTGTCGTGGGATTTTGGTCTACGCTCGGCTGACAAACAGCTGATCGGCTCTGTGAATCGCAACTTTGCCGGGTTTGCCCGGGAAATCTTCACGGATACGGGTGTCTATGCTCTGCGAATGGACTCTGCTTCTCCCAGCGAAGAGTTCCTCGACAAGAACCGTGCGGCTACTGGGATGACATTCGACCAGCGTGCCGTGATGCTGGCAACCGCTGTGAGCATTGACTTTGACTACTTTAGTCGCCATAGCAACTCGGGTGGATTTGGTTTCATGCCTCTCTGGATCCCTGGATTTGGTGGTGAGGCAGCTGCTGGGGGTGCTGCCGGGGGCGCAGCAGCCGGTGAAGCAGGTGCCGTGGGGGAAGCGGCCGCGGGAACTCTTGGTCGGGCTGGGGCAGCCGGTGGAATGGCTGATGGCGCTGCAGCAGGTGCAGCAGGTGCGGGCGCAATGGCTGGCTACGAAGCCATGTCCCGTGGGATGGGAGGCAGCCAGCCTGCTCCCGATCAGCAAGCGGCACCTGTAGACCAACAGCCACCGACGCCAGGTCAAACGGGTCCGTATGGAGATGTCTGGGGGGAAGAGTCCGAGAACCCATGGGGAAAGGAGCCTGAGAACACATGGGGCCAGGAAGAGGATCCGTGGGCAGATGAAGCCGACGAGGGCGAGGGAGGCGATGATTTCGATTGGTTTTAAGCGGCTGATAACTACAAACAGGCAGTAAGATCAGGATGGTTGACATTGTGAGACGGTCAGACATATACTATCCCCCCATTCATGCAGGGATAACGACGACAGAGCTCATGTAATCGGGGGCACTGAGAATCACCGTAACGGCTTCAATGACATGGCCTGCGGCATACTCGACATGATCTGACCGAGTAGACATCGATGTCATTCATACTCGGCCCTGCTTGAAGTGCAAAGCGGTTTATGCAGCTGACTGACGATGATTAGCCCGATGTACCATAACGACAAAAAAATCTCCAAATAACTGTATAATATCACGCGAAAAATGAAACAATGCTAGCCAGAAATAAACTCAAGATCATTCTCCTTCCATACTGATGAAAGCGGCGATAAGCATCATTGCAGCCTCAGGCACCCAACACATCCCACCGGCTCAACCATCGATGAATGGAACCTCAATCACTCAATCATTCATTGGCTTTCAGAGTGGCAAACCTTGATTTCTCCTCCAATTCAATTCCAACCCACTCACCTTCCCCAGTAAACCGACCTCTAAAAAGTTTTTCTTAGTCCTATCTCCTCAACGCCACCCCAGGTACATAACCACCACCCCTATTAAGTACCCCCGGTGTCCTCACCCTCTCCGGTCCGATCTCCGCACTCTCCTCTCCCCTCTTTATCTAATCGCCAGATAGACAGCCAGACCGCCACCACCACCAGCACCAAAAACCCACTACCTGCTTCCCTCCCACGACGCCGGAGAAATTATTAAGCCAATAATTAAAATCAATACTTCTCTCAAAGAGAAAGGAAGGCAGTGATCAATCAAAATGTCCTCCGTCGCCCAGAAACGCCTCTTCCACGAATACAAAAACCTCTCCACCAACCCCCCCGAGGGCATCACCGCCGGCCCCGTCACCGAAGATGACATGTTCCACTGGGAAGCACTAATCCAGGGGCCTGAAGGTACGCCCTTCGAGGGCGGCGTGTTCGCGGCCGAGTTGAAGTTCCCTAAAGATTATCCGCTTAGTCCGCCTACAATGAAGTTTGTGGGTGGTGGGGTTTGGCATCCTAATGGTAAATAACTCCTTCTTTTCCCTTTCTTTCTCTATCTGGATCTTTCTTGTCTTCTAGTTTTTTTTCTGGTGATGCTTGGTTGAGCTTATGCTAACGTGTTTTGGACATACGTATAGTATACCCCAACGGAACCGTGTGTATTTCCATCCTCCACCCCCCCGGTGACGACCCCAACCATTACGAACATGCTTCGGAGCGGTGGTCGCCGATCCAGAGCGTGGAGAAGATTCTTATCTCCGTTATGAGTATGTTGGCGGAGCCGAATGATGAGTCTCCGGCGAATGTGGAGGCTGCGAAGATGTGGAGGGAGCGGAGGGGGGAGTATGAGCGGAAGGTGAGGGATGAGGTTAGGAAGGGATTGGGGCTGTGAAACCCTCTCTTCTTTAATATGAGTTGAATGGTGAATGGGAGGGGTTTGGCCGTATATAAGTAACCGGTTGCTGGGCTGGTTGCTCACTGTCTGTCTATACTCTGTGTCGTGGAGGAAATTGTGGCATAGCTTGGATGGATGCATTGGTTGCTTGGGTTGGCGTTGTGGTGCGTTCGTTCTTTCTCTCTCTTTCTTTCATCTTTATATATATTCTATTTGACGCCCACTACTGGGGTAGATGCATGGTCAGGAATGCATAGATGCTTTGTTCAGTATATATCATTATCTTTTGTTGTGATAATGGTACGAAGTCATGAATACGTCCTACCTACTTACTGTTTTGTATGAGATGGACCAGCTTCCTATCTAGCCATCCTGTCAAGCCACCCTCCATGTCATACAGGATCTCCATCTCTGCCTTGACATTCAGCATGAGCATTCGCTGCAGCTCGACCCGCCATTCCGGCTCCGGTCCATCAGCCTCCCAGACAGGATTTTTAGACAGCATATCGATGGCCTTCTTCCTATCCCGCTTCGTAAGATGGAGTAGCGTGCCATCGCCTAGTGGATCAGCTCCTGCAACCACCTCCGCTAGTCTCAAACCTAGCCAGTGGAGACCGGGCACATTCAAGTTCCGGTTTTCGTGGGCAAAAGCCACAGAGCCATACTTGTATGTGGCCATAATGGCCATGCCGTCGGGGTCACCGTCCACTAAGGCGTAGAATTGCGGTTTCTTGGTGAGTTGGTGGCTGTGGTCGAAGAGTTTACGGACGAATGCCCGAGTACTGAGATCAGGATATCCTTTTCCCTGGAATGGTTGGTATGTCTCTTAGAATGTAATAGGGGTATCAGCACTTACAGTGACGAGGACGCCCTTGCCTGCTGCAGATCTGATGTGGTAGTTGCTGCTTGCGAGTCGACGGTATACGGCCTGAGGGTGTCAGTTCACTCCAGCTTGATATATAAAGTTTTTGATGGCAGCAGGGACCTCCTTCTCTAGAACCAGTACCCAGGCAACATCTTTAAGGTCGACTTTGTGGATGTCTTGCATTCTAGGTACTAGAGTATCCTGCGAACATCAGTCCATGCTGTGTGCAGTAGTGATGACTGCAACGGACCTGGTTTGATAACCGCGCGTCCACTACTCCCGCGCTTGTGGTGGTCATCTGATAGTATCCCACGACAAGTCCTTTTGCTGCTGCCCCCTGTGTTGCAGGATACTTAGCAGTCTGGAAGTAGGTACTGTTGAGGCCCACGAACCACATATAATGCAGCACGATCCACCCCCATTGTGTGTGCCAGGTCATCAACGAGTGTATCGACGGTTTTCTGGGAGCCGAAGCAGATAGGATCACTGTAGTATATGTCTCTATGTGAAATTTAGTGTTCGAAAGTGTTAGAGTACACTGGTGGTCCGTGTTGTTTACCTCTTAGAGACCACCAACCCCGCCTGAACTGCCTCTGCGATGGCCGCGAGGACTCGAAGAGCGGCAGCTGTGTCTTCATTAGCAGAGTATCTGAATGGTGACAACATATCGTACTGAATTTCAATGCTTCGTTCATATCGCCGCCGGGCCATCTGTAGGTGGTGTATGTCTGTATCTCCGACGTCTCCAGGGCCAATGTACGTGGGTTAATGAATAGTGAGGCAAACTTTTTACCTCTCTGTTTGAGGGTAATAGAGAGGTGGCCTTCACGGAAGGATACTTCATCCAGGATTGCTGCTAGCGTTTCCTGAATGTAGCTTTGGACTGGTGTTTGGGGAATTGTAGCGATGATTGTTAGTCGTTCGAACGCCTCGGCTTCCATGCCATCTAAATGTGATGCTTCCATTGTTTCTAGGATCAACAAGATGGGTTAGGAGAGGATGACCTGTAGGGGTGGGACGGCGATGGTCCGGAGGCGAAAGGTGGAAATAGTCCAAGAGGGGTTGCGAGTATGCGACCCAACATATATTGTACCTAATCACGTTACAACTAGTGAGATGAGTTCTTCTTGTACAATATAAAATGGCAAGTAAATGGCCGGAACCAACAAAAATCACTACATAATGATCTTGACTGGCCAGTGTTCAAAGTATAGCAAGCCGGTGGCACGTAGTCACATGCACAGAGTTAGCTAAACCGGTTTCCTGGAATATCGCTCATATCTTCATACAAGAAATGAAGTACATCCTGCTTAGGGAGCCGGGGGTGGAAGATGACTAGGCTGCGACCAGAGTTATTATTCAAGTAAGCTAATTATACTGATTCATGTTTAAACAAGCATCAGCAATGCGAATGCTCATAAAGAGCACTACTAACATGTTTCACTGCCAAGTGCCATAAGACTTAAGTCATGCCCCCTTCAGTCTGAATCAGACAACCTAATACATTCCAAGCACAGTCAAGACATCCTCATTTCACTCGCACCTCAATCGTTCTATCCTTCTGTATTTCCGCATTTGATTTCCAATAACGTTCCGCTCGGAAACTACATCGCCATCAGACATCGTAGCGAAGTTGAGATTAGCTCTTACCTCCAGTGGATATCAGCCAGAACAGTATTTTGGAGGCCATCAATATACGTCTGAACCTGTGCATCGACATCTTCGCCCCAGCTGGGTAAATCAGCTAGTGTCAAATACCAATCACGATAGCATGCAGCCAGTAGCTTTCCAGCTTCGTCGAAAGCAGCTTGAACTGAGAAGCCTTGCCGGAGATATATTTTGATCAAGTTGCTGCTTTCATCGAGGATCTGGAAGGGAAGGTTAGTCATTCTGTACCTATAGCTGGCGGACCATAAATATGCACATACTTGCTCCTTCCGATAGGAAACGATGTCATTTTGGCTGTGGAGTCAGTAGCCGGCTTCTACAACGGACAAGGTTCTTACATGACCGTCACTTCAGTGCTGACTCTTTCCAGCTTTTTGATGGATGAACTCTCAAACACTTCATCTGGAATGTTCAATCCATTGGCATATCTGGATCGTCAGCACGTTTGATCCTTCCAGGGAGGGAAAAGGCCTACTCAAATAGCGCATATAGAGGCGTCGTCGCAATACTTCCACGTCTCATTACGATAAATTCTTCGACTGACAGTGTTTCACTGCCTTGGAATTTGGATTGCATGATGACCTGCTGAATACACGCTTCGGAATAGTCTCGCATTGAATTAGCAAACCGACGACGGGTTCCTGTGTGTCGTTGATCCCATCAACTTCATATTCAGATCAATTGAGGCTGACAATGTGATTACCGGCAGAGCAGTTCGACTGAAATATTAGCGAGGATCACAGTCTCATCGACATAATACTCACCTCGGATAGTCTATCCCAGATGGACTTGAACGCAATAACAATAGGAGCTCTCGGTCTAAAGACTCCTTCGTTTGTCATGACGGCCAAAAGCTCGTCCATCATTCTTTTCACACCATCCAGATCTACTTTCAACTCTCCATTGTCGAAAGCTGTTGACATCGCATCGTGAGAACAGGGAAGTGCGATTGAACAGGAAAACACTACCATCATCAAAAGGAAAAACCTTGATTCAGATTAGTATACACAGTACACCTAAAGAGAATCAACACAGGGAGATCAACGCGGACGTACCCAGTTTCCCCAATCACACATCGTTCGCAACTGATCTCGCTCTGCATTAGGGGCCATAATGGCCAAGAAGTACCCAAAGTCAGTCTTGTGAATAGATCGTGCCATATTTTCATCAAATTTGCAGGCCCTTCAAAGTTTTAGATGAAGGTACTAGAGTGAAGAAAGGGTCACTTATACTTGATCAGCCACTGCTCCGACTCCTCCCTGATAGCTTCATAATGCCGATTCACTGGAGCCTTTCTCGCAACGAAGCTTACAAATAACGGAGGCAATTTCACCTCGACGATAGTGTCAGCGTCCCAACCCATCTTCCTGGCTCGTAAATGGGTATATCAGTTTATGCTGGATAAGATGGACAAGTAGGGTGTCGGCTGAATACTTATAAGCCAACTCGTCGATGGCTCCTATGACGTTTCACAATACTAAATATGAATGGATGCATTTCTCGACAGCTACAGTGATATCCCCTTCGGACTGCCTTCATAAGAGTGATGTCACCGTCTAACTGAATCATTCCCCCTCATTTCCTCCCTCTGTGGTCAACAGCAGCTCATCAAGATCAATCGAAGCTTGCTCGGGACTCTATGCAAGGATCTGCAGGGCATTACCACCTTTGCTGATTCGAACAGGAATGCTGTATCTCTGCCCTATCGCAATTGAATATGCATCACAGTTACCCCACATAAGGCAAGCCATACTCCTTCCCAATGCGTTTGAGTTATGATGAAACGTACTCTGGTCGAGTGCGAGAAGATCGTTAGTGGCATCTATTGGTCCACTGGTCCACTCGTGGCAAACATGTCACTGGCACTACCGCTTCCTTTTAGAGCAATGATGTGAGGTTATTCAGCAACTGGAAAGACAAATGAAAACATCTTCCTATATGAGTGGGCTGGCATAGTTCACTGATGACACTAACGCCGACCCTTACGAACCATTTCAAAGTAGCCCCAGTTGACCGACTTGAGCTAGTGTAACCGCATCGCTGTCCGTTCCAGAATACAAACCTAAATTCTGCCAGACCTCGATGTCCGGAATGAACCTCGCTATTACCGACATGGACGAAGCCACTAGTAGGCAAACGAAAAAGAATATTGTCAACCAAGATTAATAAAGCATGCTTCGTCAAGACAAATGTCTCGAGCTCCAATAGTACCAGGTGCGCAGTTTGTTGAGGAAACAATCGAGGACTTCGGCCAACGCAGGCGTGAGTGGAGATTGCATGCCAATATTTGGGTTGGACGAGACTGAATGTGGTCAAGTGATTGATACCAACCTGTCCAGCATCGCTCACTTCCTTAAGTGGACAAATGGTCAAGCAAGGTCACGGAGCTTCCCTTATCAATGTCTCCTCCAGCGGGATTCTAAAGACGGTGCCTACCATTTCTGCCTATTGTGCTTCCAGGCACGATGTGGCACGACTGGATAAGGTTGCGGGTAGTGTATTGTGGCTTATATCTGGGACTTCTTTGTATGTTACAGGAGTCATGATTTCTGTCAATGCAGTGTAATCCTTGATAGGAGCCCGAATTATACGTAGTGATGTAATGAAATCTCAGTGCTGCCGAGCACGGATTGAATTATGCTCCTTGTTTCTTGCACATATTCCTGGTAGTTGGTATTTTGTAAGAGCTTCTGAACTTAGAAACTTGCAGATGAAATCCTACAGGTTGATATTGAAAGTTACCCACACTATAGCCCTTAAATTTGTGACTTTGTAGGTTCGTCTTTCTCAGGCATCTGGATAATTCCATCGGACAAAGGAGAACTGTTGTGCGACCCTAATTATCGTGCACCACGCTCAACATAATCATTCTTGAGGGCGTACATAGGAATGTGGGGGCAATGCGATCTTCCATAGCAATCTTAAACGGTGGTTGTGCATTATGACTGTGTTACCCATGGGATATAGTAACTGACAGCCGTATCTTAAGCCTTGCTTACTTTGAGTTGTATATTTGGCTTGAAAAATGTTTTCAACAAGTGCCAGATCGACCTATGCCACATGGGCGAGAGGGCAATGGAGTGAAGTGATCATGGATTGGCAAGAAATGCGAAAAATATCCATGTATTGGTGAAGGGGTCAACTGCATCCTCTTGTGGTAGGATAGGGCATTTTAGACCTAGCAAATTAGACGTATGAACGCTTCTTTTTAGCTGTTCTCTATCTTATGCTTCATTCAACAAACTAAAAAACTTGGTACTACAAATATGGTATAATTGCTTTCACCTCGTATGATATTTGATATGTTTGTAAACACTATATCCTGATTCAAGTTTGCGATTCCTACACGGAGATAGTTGAAGATGCACGTGTGGATGCCCAGCGGCAGGTTTTCTCCGCCTTCTGCCTCCGAAGCTCTCTCCGTTCCCGCGTCGCATTTATCTGCTATCGTTCATTTCGACATTGCACCTCTGGGCCTCCCAGAATGATTTTCGGCCTTCCCGGATAATAAATTTGATGGTCATCTACTCGCCTCAAATTGCAGGAAATACCTGGCCCACTCGTTGACGAACCGACGACGTTACACCCTCCCGCCCACCCGATACCTCCTACCTCCGTTCTTTTACCTCCACCTCAACACTCACGCCCACCATGTCCGTTTGGAACCCCGATAATATTCGCGATGTTGCCGAGTCGGTCGGTGTCGTGAACCTCAGCAATGATGTCACTGAGAACCTTGCCCGCGACGTCGAGTACCGCATCGCGCAGGTCCTGGAAGAGGCCCTCAAATTCATGCGCCACAGTCGACGCACGCTACTCACGACACAAGATGTCGCGCAGGCGCTGCGCGTGCTGGATGTGGAGCCACTGTACGGATACGAGTCTACAAGGCCTTTGCGGTTCGGAGAGGCGTCACTGGGCCCTGGTCAGCCGTTGTTCTACGTGGAGGATGAAGAAGTGGACTTTGAGAAGTTGATAAATGCGCCGTTGCCCAGGGTTCCTCGCGAGATCTCTTTCACAGGTAAACTTGGCCCTGCTGCTCTATGGAAATATTTACAATGAAGTGTTGGCATGCTGACTCCATTAAGCCCATTGGTTGGCGGTTGAAGGTGTACAACCGTCCATCCCTCAGAATCCCACGGCGGCCGACTCGAGAAACATGGAACTGATGTCCAAGGGACCCAACGCAAGCTCTACATTGGCGGCCATGAGTGGAGGAGGAAATGTCTCCGTCAAGCCTCTGGTGAAGCATGTGCTTTCCAAGGAGCTCCAGCTATACTTCGAGAAGGTCTGCAACGCCTTCCTGGACGAGTCCAGTGAGGAATACAGGACGTCGGGTTATGCCAGTCTCCGAGAAGACCCCGGACTACACCAGCTGGTGCCATATTTCGTGCAATTCATTTCGGAGAAGGTGACGCATGGGCTGAAGGACGTCTTTGTCCTGACGCAGGTGATGCACATGGCCGAGGCTCTGGTACAGAACAAGTCTCTCTACGTGGACCCATATGTGAGTCATGATTGTCACATGAACAACGCAGATTACATTCCACTGACTCCTGATAGATCGCCTCACTTGTTCCACCTATTCTGACGTGCCTGATCGGTCGACAACTCGGGGGCAGTGCTGAACTGACGGAGCAATTTGCCCTGCGCGACCTTGCCGCATCGCTTCTGGGCCTCATCGCCAAGAAATATTCCAATTCGTCGCACACCCTCAAGCCACGACTGGCCCGGTCGTGCCTGAAGACGTTCCTGGACCCGTCCAAACCCTTTGGGGCGCACTATGGCGCGGTGATCGGACTACATGCGGTTGGCGGTGCAGAGGCGGTGCGGGTGCTGATCATGCCTAATCTGCCGACGTACGGCAACCTGCTCAAGGATGGCATGGCGGAGGAGAGTCCACGCCGGCCGGAGGCAGAGCGGGTGCTTAGCGTGCTGCTGGGGGTGCTGAACACGCTACGGGAGGGCCGGATGGCACTGGCCAACGGTCATGGCGGGATGGTGACGGATGGTCTTCGAGATCGGCTGAGTCAGAAAGTGGGTGAGTTCCTGGCCGCGAAGATTAGTGACGCGGGGGAAGTTGACCTCGCTCATGCCATTGTGGAGTCGTCCTCCTGATTCTGCTGCATTTCTCTCTCTACAACTTGAAGTAGCATCTCATTCTGTATCTACTTTGGATGTACATCTTTAGGGGCAGCGGGTGAAGAGCCATGCGTGCTTTCTTTCATTTTTCTTAGTTTGAGTGTTTGTTGCTGGGCATGGACAGAATTCGGCGTTTGGGGCAAAGGGTGTTTTAGAAGGAGGGAATCAGGACTATTCTTGAATGCTAGCTAGCGAATTGTACCTCTGCATAATATCTTGATGCTTTGTTGACTTCAACCTGCTCATTGTGCTGGGAGGGAATTTAGTAGTGGTGGAAGTTGTGAGACCGATTTCCCGATGGGAGGGAGACACGACGTCACCCTCCCTTTTGAGAAGAAGTCGACCCTTGTACTACCGCCTGCCTGGTTGGGCACGAAATGTCGGGCTTTTTCCGTTTGGCAGGGAAAATCCGATCGGCTCATTCCTTATTCCTGGCCTTCTTTTCCGGCCATTCGAAAGGAGCATCTCATC